CTTACAATTGGAGTTTAATTCTACCAGCAATATTCCAGCATAGTAAATGGTGTCACTTTGCTGGAGTTTCTCAAACGTAATGTCATTCTAAGCAATTTCTAAAGGAACAGATCTGAGCTCTTTATCACCTCGGGGATCAAAAGCAGCTGCCTCAATTTACACTTCCACACAGTTAACAACGTCCTAAACATTATGTTCTCCAGCATCGTTGAGATGCTTTTTAGCAGCATGATCCCAGACTTTATTTCCTTTCCACTCTCTCAAGTACACTCTTAAAAAAGAGTTTTGTTATTCTGGAGGCCAATAAAGATATCATAATCTTGGGTAAAATCCATACATTTTTCCAAATAAAATGGACGGTAGAAGTCAAAATCCCTGGAATAAAATGCCAGACAGCCGTTTTTCTTTTTCAGCCCAAAGAAAGCTATATGGGAAGGAAAAACGCAGGGAGGTAGATTCCTATATTTAATGTGCAGATATAAAGGTCACTTTTGCTTGTGTGATAAATAAACAAACACCTGGCATAGAGAGAATCATGTGGCTTTTTGCCAGATGAGAAAAAACTGAAACACAATTCCCAGAGTGCTAACTGGTCTCTTTCACAAGTGCTCTGTGGAGAATTCAGGTGGCTCATGAAGGGACTGCATCATTAGCCTCAGTCAGCCGATGTTTGTGGTCCCATTTTGATTCAGACCTCAGCTTTCAGCACCAGGCCTCAATGAAACACAGAGCTGATATATATATATATATACAGCGTCATGATCGTTTTGCAAACAAAAGGCCTGTCAAGTTTAAGGCGGACGCATAAAGGGGTTTTCGTGGGGAAATGAAACCTCCAATCATGGAGAGCAGGCATACATCTTCTTTCATACATCAATCTAAACTCGCTCAAACACTCGCCAAAAAAACAACAATATAGTATATATGAAGAGTTCAGATGCAAAAGCCTCTAAATGCCATTTGAAATGTTCTTCTTTAATGATGATTTTTAACAAGCTTGTATATTTAAGTTCAGTGATTTCACTTAAAAAATCTTTAAATCTTTAATGATTTTTGAAAAATAATGCTAATGCTAATGTTGCTGATCATAATCTGATTTATATAATACTGCCAAAATAAATAAATATTTAAAGAGCCCCTATCATAGCATTTGAAATGTTCCTATTTTTGTTTTGGGAGTTCCCAAAAACAGTTTAACGTGCATGCAAGGATAAAAAAAACGCTTTATTTGTCTTATAATATGCATTTATTTTTACCCGATTTGCTCAACAACTCCCAAATGATTCATTCGACTATTCATTTTCCCAAACACCTCCTTTGAGTGACGTGAATCTGCGGCAATTGGTCAAATGACCCAGTCAGTTGTTATTGGTAAACCGTAGGCAGAGATTGTCGGCAACGGAACGCCCATAACCAGGATTATAGCTTGTCAAGTGTTGAAAATTGTATATAGTGTTTGAACAAACATGTCAGAAAAAGTGCACTTTCCACACGGTCCCTTACTCGCGTCTCCGTCAAGAGCGAGCTTTCCCGGCGAAACTCACATTGCGGCGGCTTTTGAGGGGCAGTGCTTATTATATAGAGCGAAGTCATATTTGGCTAAGTCGTTTAGGAGGTAATTGCCATTTTTCAATGAATGTCTGGTGAATATCAAAAACAAATCTAACTTTACCCCGCTTAGAATCTGCACGGAGAGTACACAACACACACAACACAATATAACTATATTGTGCATGCTACAGAAAACATAACAGCTAAAATTATTAATAATACTTACAGATTGTGATTCGGAGGAGGACGAACCTGATCCTTATACACTGGATACTGAGCCCTCCTTCGGGAACAACCGGCTTGCGAATCCACATTTGAATACATTTATGTTTTTGAATGATTCGTCATTAAAATGATGAGAACACAATCGGGCTATACTGTTGTGGTATCGTTACAAATATGAACTCTAACCACTGATTCTTCACATGCTCGTCTCTGGGCAATGAAAACAAGTGGCTGAACTGTCTTTGCAATGTAGAACACAGCGTCTTCTCGACATGACGCTATTCAGCTAATGTATTTGAATGTGTTGTAGACTAGACTTCAAGTTTACACTCCCGTCTGCGCGCGCAGTTGTTGGGAGCGGCCAATGAGCTAATGTTTGCATCTACATCACGACGAAACAGCTAATGACTCGTTTTAAAAACAATTCATTTCATAGACTCAGAGTCGACTCTCACTTTTGAAAGACAATAACTTTATATACGGTGCACTTTCAGATTTCACTTTTCATTCCCTTAGAGCTAGGCCTATATTCCACACTACATGAACAGTCATTTTCAAAAATCCATGATAGGTGCTCTTTAAACATGACATATTGATTTAAGCTGAGTAGGAAAACAACAATGCAAAATATAGTACATTGCAATGGACCGATCAGAAGTGTTCAAGATATAAATAATATATAACATAATAAATAATACATAACAGCATTTTATGGGGGCATTTTGTGTTGATTATGTCCTTTGACATTATCAACACAAAATGTGACATTTTTAGAGTTTATTAATACTTATCCATATTAATATTGACCCCTTCTTAATAACCCTAATACATTTACATTCTAACAACAAGTTAATGGCTGCAGGTTATGCGATTCATTGAAAGGAAAATCAGCAGCCTGCCCCCCTACAGTGAGAAAATGGCTGTGGGTTTAATAGGAGAATTTATAGCACACACAGAAACAAAAGGCCTAAAAAAAACCACATCACACCCCCTGAGGTCCTAATGTGAAGTAAAGTTCATATGATTTGCAGGACGCATAAGAGTGTCTATCTGTACAAGTGAGAAAGTGTGTGCATATGCAATAGCTGATCATGTGTATGTAATACACACTTCAGATATGTTATATGCGCTTTCAGGGGGTGGTTGGCTAGTGTTAGCGCGAGCAGCTGTTATCAGGATAATGAGTGTGTCCCTCCTCTCTGTCATAATTAACACTGTTTAATTAAAGCTAGCCCACTCCTGTAGCTGGTTAGGGTGCCACTTGTTAAGTAGGAGGGTGAGAACACACAAGGCTAAGAGTCCAAATTAGATTGAGGAGATTTAGGAGATGAGGGCTGGATACCTCTTACAATGCTAAAAAACAAAATAAACCTTTATTATTATAACTTTAGTTTTGTCTTGTGTTATGTTATAAATATATCTAATTTAATACATAATATTAAGTATGGAATATAAGTGTAGGTTGTTCCTGTTGTCATGCTTAAATAGTATGCTGTTTAGCACTATAGGCTGAACAAATAAGTTACCATAGTAACAATACTCCCCTTCCTGTAGTTATTGTTTTGTCTGTTAGGAAAGGGGAAACCATAATGAGATCTTATTCAACCAGTTTAAGTTTCAGAACCTTTTTTTCATTTCGATTAACATCATTTTGGCTGATAGATGGCTAATACCAAAGATGTTGATAACATCAGGAGGAAATTACATCTGGACATCAGGAGAAATCTCAGAATGAAATATGTTAATTTTCTAATATTTTTTAGCATTCTCACTCATTTAATAACATATAACATAATTGTGATAAAATATGTGGTTAAAAATATAACAATATTTTATTTATATATATAGTGTTTTATAAATGGCATAATATCCATTAATATATCCGTTAAACTATAATCAGTCAGCGAAAGGTTCGCTCCATGAACGCAATAGTAAGTATTTTTATTAAAAAAAACAATGAGATTACATACTGGTCCTTCAACCATTGAACATTAAAAGGACATTTAAAAATGTAGAAGTATTAACAAATTCCTAAAACAGACCATGATGAATAACCCCCTGATTATTTCTGCAGCAATGCATTGTATACGCATTGTATTTATCGTGCATACTGTGATACACAGTTTTCGCATGCATATGATACACACTTTATGGCGTGCCATACGTACGTTCCCCGGCCACACCACTTGTGACTAATCCTACCCAAGGGGTTTACATTGCTTATCATATGCATGTGACAACATTGTCAACAAATATTGAATTTACCTTCTTTAGAAAGTAAACACTGCTAATAGGGATTAGAATTGAAAAGAGAAGACAATTAGACTACATTTTAAAGCATCCGTGTGAAGTACCCTTGTTATGTGAAGCTAACACCAAGCAGTTATTCTCTAAAAGTCTGAAATTAGAAAATGAAGGAAATTTTACAGCTCAAACTGGCAGATAAGGATTATTTGTTGCACAACCTTATAATTGGAAAGTGTAGTCTTTTTGAGTGCAATTTTCCCAACTCTGGAGCAACTAGGGTTTAAGTGTATTGCTCAGGGACACATGGTTGTCTCACAGTGGATTCGAACCTGGACCTCTCACACCAAAGGCATGTGTCTACAAACCATTATTTTATCATACAAAGTATTTAAGACTAAAAATATGACCTCCCTGTCGCATGACAGGTAATGAACATAATATCTAGTTAAAATTTACAATCTAGGTATGTCTAAAATATTGTACGTATGTACAGTAAGAACCAAAGTATTACTCATAATATACTTTACATAACATTACAAGTAATGTCAGAACGATATCAGCTCTGCTGTTGTTGTTCATAAATACCAGCAGTTCTGTTGTACAACGAGGACATTGACACGTTGCCAGAAATAAAGTCATCAGTGTCCCAATGAGTAGCGAGCCAGTGTCCTTTACTGTCTTTACCAGTGCTCGAATTCGTGAACACGACATATTGATTCACAAGCTCGGGAGTTATGGAGCTGATTGAGACGCAGTCAACATACACAAGCATGGAACAGAAACAGAACAGAACCAAACCAAAACATAATATACACGTTACAAAACCCCAAGATTTTTTTTTTTTTAAAGTGCAGAAAAAAAAAAACTGACCACATTTAATTTGCCTGAACTTTCTACAGTATTGAGGTGCTCTGCAACTGATGTGTAAATTTCTCTGTCCACTTCCTGTGAAGTGATTATATATATATATATATATATATATACAGTATATACTGTATATATATATAGTACATGTCAACCCTTTGAACTGAGGATTCATGCTCCCTATTATAAGGAATTATGATGGCCAAAAACCTGTGAAGTACAGGGTGACTGGAACATACCCAATGTGACTGACTTATCTTCCTTGCAACATGTCTCTTTCAGACACCATTCTGATTACTTTTTATCAACAGCACCGCTAAGGGTACGGATGAGAGCGGTAGAGAGCTCGGATGAAGTGAGAGAGACACTGCGCTCACTATTATGGATAAGCCGGGAACTTTTGTAACCTTGATACAGCGAGTGTATCTGACTCTGGCAGAACAGCTGTATTTAAAGTAGCTGGAAAGAATCCAGCTCCCTCGGCCCGGCTGATACAGGGCCAACTTATTTGCAGTGACAACACCTTATTAAAATCAAGTGAGTTTGTCCTTTACCCTACTTCATCACAGCCTCTATTTCAACCCTGCTGGCACCCGGGAGACGGAGTCATTCCACCAAGTCGAGCATAAATCCAGGAAAGCACCGTGGGCAAGGTCTTCAACACGGGCCTATTCTTCAGCACTTACACATGAGGTCAGCAAATCGTCTGTAGCATCACTCTGAGCTTCTCCTGTGGTGCGCTTAGAATCCTGCAGTGGAAGGGGGACACTTTGAGTAACAGGTGGACAACTTTTCACAACCTGTCGATTGCTGGGACACTGCAAACTAAGCTTTAACACCTAAAAATGAACATTGTCTCATCATTTACTCACCCTCATAATGATCCATGGTGGTCCTGGGAACGTTCTCTTGAACGTCCGGAAGATGTCTTCGCGAAGGTCTGCGGGACATCAAGCGGACCCTACACGCAGATGTTTGGAAAGACGTTCTGGGGACCTTTATAACATTAGAATAACATACAGATCATATTCAAACATTTCATCATGTTGAACTAAATAACGATGATTAGTTTTATGTACATTTGTTCACCTGTCTAATAAAGTACTGGACATGCAACACTCACGTCTCTGTCAAGTCGAAGTTATTCGCGGCCGTGGAGCTCTCGGGCATCTCGAAAGATGTTGATCTTTGTTTTAGTCCTCTTTTTTTTCTCAAAGTCTGCTTGTCAGGCATGTTTGAACAAAACAACAACATGAGCATCCTGCTAGGCATAACCATAGACAGTAAAAGAAATGGACAAAGCGACCCCATTGACTTCATCAGAGAAGACTGAAGCCTGATTATTGCACGTCCTGCCTTATGGCAGGTGACTGCGCAGGTCAAATTGAGCGTGACGACAGTCTGACAGTTGTAAATCTTCTAGTAGCTGTGGCAAGACAAATCTGAATGACCTAATTCTGCAGATATGGTCAGTGTGACCTGGAGCAATTTTTGGTAAGTATTCTGATTAATTATTTTGTCATTTTGCGTAGTATTTATTTATTTTAAAATGTAACGCCAGTACGCCATATTAAGTTAATGCATAATATTAAGAAGTAATGTGAAATGATATTCAAGAACTTGCGATTTGAATTCATACCCAATAAGTATATGTAAGGAGATAAGGAGATATGTAATTAATAACATATTAGACACAGGCTAATTATCATTTAAAGAGATACTTCAGGATTTAACATTAAGCTTTGTATTAGTAGAAAACCTGTAGTTTTTTTCGAATTACCATGCTTTCCACCCTCATATCCCCCTGAGATGAGAGATTTCTGGGTTTTTTGTCTGGAAAAAATCCTGCAATAACGTAAAAATCGTCACATACACATAGAGTCAGCCATCTTTTTTTGGAGAAAGTTGAGTAGTAGGGGTTACCATCCTCTTTTTCCCGGACATGTCCGTCCATCGATGTCCGTGATTAAGCTTTTGCTTTCTGCAGTCACCATTCATTGTTTACATGCACACCTTTTGTTTCAATCTAACTGAATTCATTCTGATTGGTGAATCTGAATGTAGTGTTTACATGAACGCTAAACAAGTGATGGGTTGATGTGCGTTTTAACATTGCAAAGAAAATTCCCGCTCCTCCGTGAGAGATACTGCTATTGTTTATGGAACAGAGCCATTTGAACATAAAAAAACTAAATAAATAAATAAAATAAAATAAAAAACTCTTGTTGAATGTCATACGGGTTAGAAACAATAAACGGTTGAGTAAAACATAAAAGAAACATTTTTCCTTGAACTCTCTCTTTAATATCCTCCTAATGGAATTCAGCAAGAATACAATTGTGTGAAAACAGCACGAACAACCAGAGAGAGGACAAGCTTGAGAGGACACATAAAAGCATTTTGTTGTTGTTGTTGTTTTTCTGATGATTCTGCAGTTTCGTCCTGTGCTGTTTAATTACTTCATTAATTATCCTACAGATGCAAAACTGGGAGTGTTTAACAAGAAGCCATTAGTTAATCTTATCCTACAATGTGTAGGTGCAAGGTCAATGGCAAAAGTCATTTAGAATGAAATACACATTTGGATATAATAGCCTGTGAAAGACGGTGCTCAATGGACTCTCGCTGGGTAATAAGTCATTTCTAACAGCTGCGCGATTCAACAGCTTAACTGTGTTCTTGAGTTTGGCGTAAACCAAATACTCCTGGGAAATTGCACCGCAGACAGACCTCCCCAATGCAATGCTCTTTTCCAAACATATTTAAAAATTTAAGCTTTGGGAATAACCTCATAAAATATTTTAACAGTTTCTGTGTTTAAGCGACTGTGTCGGGGGGTATTTGGTCTTGTGCTATTTTTATAAGCTCAGACTTCAAAAGGCTGTATGTACTGATACAATACAGAGACTGTGATGCAGTACTGACCCAAAGCCAGCGCTTGTCAAGGCAATGAGATACAACCGAGAAGATAGTTTGCCACGCTGAAACTATTTCATCATACCCTTAAACAATGATTAACACTTTGACAGATTATTATGTTTTAAATTGAGAGATTATTATTATTAGTGCTTTATTTTTTTTACTCATTCAAGCCATAAAAAAAGATATTTGCTGCAAAACAATGTGACCTTAAAAGGCATTTTGGCCAAAATGTCAAAGGAGCTAAATCACTAACAAACTAAAACACAAATTTTACAAAATAATATCATACAATTATTATTAATAATAAAATAAGTATTTAATCATGCCCCCTGAGTGACATTTATGAATATTTATGTGTATCAGTATATCATGAGAGTACGTTCGAACCCGGGTCGCTCACTCCAAAGACATGTATATATATATATATATATATATATATATATATATATATATATATATATATATATATCAGCCCGTTCTCATCCTTTAACGTCATATAGAACGCTATATGCAAAAACGGCGCTATACTACGCACATGGCACCCTTTATCGTTAATATAACACGCAAACCCAAGACGTTATAAATCCTTTAGCGTGAATATGACACGCACACCCTACCCCACACCTAAACTTAGCCCTCACAGCACGTGTTATATTAACGATAACGGGTGCCATGTGCGTAGTATAGCGCCGTTTTGTCATATAGCGTTCTATATGACGTTAAAGGATGAGAATGCGTTGTATATATATAATTTGATATTTATATGTATACTTATTTGATGATGTGTTCATGATATTTTGAGTTTTTTTTCTTATGTTTGTTTGTTTTTAGTTATCCACCTTTTCTAAAAAAAATCATAATAATAATAAAAAAAATCAAGATTTCAATTGCATGTTGTCCCTTGTTTATATTGATATAATAGCTGTAGCGACCTTACCGAGTGTATTTACGTAGAGCTGAATAATTCTGATTTCAGAGCATGGCTGAATTTAAATCTATAATTTCAAACTATCTGCGGGTTACAGAAATCCAACTGTCAGGTAAAATGACACAAAACTTCCCCGCTGACACATTGGCGGCATCCTCAGATACCTCATCCCCCTAGTAATGGAAACATAGATAAATGAATACATAAGCATTTGGATGAAAGTCAAGGAAGTTAAAGATCATCAATACCAGAAGGGGAGCTGCATTATTCATGAAAGTACAAAGACAAATACCTACTGCTTTAGGCAGTAAAAGAAATGGACAAAGCGACCCCATTGACTTCATCAGAGAAGACTGAAGCCTGATTATTGCACGTCCTGCCTTATGGCAGGTGACTGCGCAGGTCAAATTGAGCGTGACGACAGTCTGACAGTTGTAAATCTTCTAGTAGCTGTGGCAAGACAAATCTGAATGACCTAATTCTGCAGATATGGTCAGTGTGACCTGGAGCAATTTTTGGTAAGTATTCTGATTAATTATTTTGTCATTTTGCGTAGTATTTATTTATTTTAAAATGTAACGCCAGTACGCCATATTAAGTTAATGCATAATATTAAGAAGTAATGTGAAATGATATTCAAGAACTTGCGATTTGAATTCATACCCAATAAGTATATGTAAGGAGATAAGGAGATATGTAATTAATAACATATTAGACACAGGCTAATTATCATTTAAAGAGATACTTCAGGATTTAACATTAAGCTTTGTATTAGTAGAAAACCTGTAGTTTTTTTCGAATTACCATGCTTTCCACCCTCATATCCCCCTGAGATGAGAGATTTCTGGGTTTTTTGTCTGGAAAAAATCCTGCAATAACGTAAAAATCGTCACATACACATAGAGTCAGCCATCTTTTTTTGGAGAAAGTTGAGTAGTAGGGGTTACCATCCTCTTTTTCCCGGACATGTCCGTCCATCGATGTCCGTGATTAAGCTTTTGCTTTCTGCAGTCACCATTCATTGTTTACATGCACACCTTTTGTTTCAATCTAACTGAATTCATTCTGATTGGTGAATCTGAATGTAGTGTTTACATGAACGCTAAACAAGTGATGGGTTGATGTGCGTTTTAACATTGCAAAGAAAATTCCCGCTCCTCCGTGAGAGATACTGCTATTGTTTATGGAACAGAGCCATTTGAACATAAAAAAACTAAATAAATAAATAAAATAAAATAAAAAACTCTTGTTGAATGTCATACGGGTTAGAAACAATAAACGGTTGAGTAAAACATAAAAGAAACATTTTTCCTTGAACTCTCTCTTTAATATCCTCCTAATGGAATTCAGCAAGAATACAATTGTGTGAAAACAGCACGAACAACCAGAGAGAGGACAAGCTTGAGAGGACACATAAAAGCATTTTGTTGTTGTTGTTGTTTTTCTGATGATTCTGCAGTTTCGTCCTGTGCTGTTTAATTACTTCATTAATTATCCTACAGATGCAAAACTGGGAGTGTTTAACAAGAAGCCATTAGTTAATCTTATCCTACAATGTGTAGGTGCAAGGTCAATGGCAAAAGTCATTTAGAATGAAATACACATTTGGATATAATAGCCTGTGAAAGACGGTGCTCAATGGACTCTCGCTGGGTAATAAGTCATTTCTAACAGCTGCGCGATTCAACAGCTTAACTGTGTTCTTGAGTTTGGCGTAAACCAAATACTCCTGGGAAATTGCACCGCAGACAGACCTCCCCAATGCAATGCTCTTTTCCAAACATATTTAAAAATTTAAGCTTTGGGAATAACCTCATAAAATATTTTAACAGTTTCTGTGTTTAAGCGACTGTGTCGGGGGTATTTGGTCTTGTGCTATTTTTATAAGCTCAGACTTCAAAAGGCTGTATGTACTGATACAATACAGAGACTGTGATGCAGTACTGACCCAAAGCCAGCGCTTGTCAAGGCAATGAGATACAACCGAGAAGATAGTTTGCCACGCTGAAACTATTTCATCATACCCTTAAACAATGATTAACACTTTGACAGATTATTATGTTTTAAATTGAGAGATTATTATTATTAGTGCTTTATTTTTTTTACTCATTCAAGCCATAAAAAAAGATATTTGCTGCAAAACAATGTGACCTTAAAAGGCATTTTGGCCAAAATGTCAAAGGAGCTAAATCACTAACAAACTAAAACACAAATTTTACAAAATAATATCATACAATTATTATTAATAATAAAATAAGTATTTAATCATGCCCCCTGAGTGACATTTATGAATATTTATGTGTATCAGTATATCATGAGAGTACGTTCGAACCCGGGTCGCTCACTCCAAAGACATGTATATATATATATATAT